GGCAGGGAAATTTGAAGGAGTACCTCAAAGTTTGATGCAAAAACGCATGATCGCACCGGCTCGCCTAGTGCGTTTCAGCCTGGGTTCGTCTTTGCTGTGCAGCACTACAGCGTTGCGCAGCAAAAACTTGTAAAAACGACCGCTAAACAGAAATTGTTTATTTCTTTTTATGCAGAATTTACGATGATTTACGGTATTGAGCGCACAAGGTAGGTGTGATAAAGCAACCGTTCATACAGTTAATTTAATTACTTCAAGTTTGGTGCAAAAAAGCATGAGCGCACCTGCTTGCCTGATGCATTCCAGCGTGGGCTTGCATCTATGCAATGCAAAAACGCGTACTGCAGAGGGATTATCTCTGTGTGTGTCTGTACCGAGTTTTCATCCCGAGGTCTACAAAAGCTACAAGACTAAAACTTTAGCAATTTAATCTACACGAACGCGCAAGTCCCTAACCTCCAATCAATGGAGACGCGCACCAGGCGGTCCCATGCGATCATGCGTTTTTGCAATATTTCGTGCTGTATTGAGATCGCTAGGAAACCCATTAGCCAGAAATGTGTGATACACTGGTCCTTGAAGTCTAGGAAGTTAATTGTCTACATGATATTTGGATAAGGAACATTTCGTTGAAATTTCAGCTTTCCAAATTTCCTTATTGAGTTAGCAATTTTCCTGCCAAAAACTTTCACGGTGCCGTACATGTCAATTACTCACGCCTGGAAGCCGAATTTGATAAATTCAATCTGTACATATGCTAAGAACATCCTCTGGAAATTTTAGTCTCCCAACGTTCCCGGTTCCTGAGTTATCCATTTTCACGCCAAAAACTTTCACGAGGCCGTACGTGATAGCCACGGTTGTCTGAGGGCTGAAGTTGTTAAATTTAAGTTGCACATGTGCAGGGAGCATTCTCTGAAAGTTTCAGCCTTCCTGTATTCCTGGTTCCCGAGTTAGTCATTTTTCCGCCAAAAACTTTCTTTGGGCCGTACATGAGTATCACACACAATCAGGGGCTGAATTTGCTAATTTTAAGTTGCACTTGCGCTGGGAACATTACCTGGAGGTTTCAGCTCCCGAGCTTCTCTGGTTCCCGAGTTAGCGATTCTCGCGCCAGGGACCCTCACGGGGCCATACATGAGGACCACGCACACCTGAGGGCTGAATTTTTGAAAACTTTGAGTTCCATGTAGGAGAAGGCATAACCTCTAAATTTCAATTTTCTAACTTTCCTGGTTCTTGAGTCGGCGATTTTCCCGCCAAAACTTTCACCCTCTCGTACGCGGGGCCCAGACTTGCTTTACAGTTGGTACCACGGTCCTGGGGTGGCAGTTGGCAGAGGAACTCACCGGCAAAATTCTGGCGCCGAAGCTTGCTGAGGTGCCGAGTTGAATTATCCGGACAGACGCGCACACACATACACATGCACACACATACACACACACGCACACCGGGGCCATCACAATATTTGTTTTTGCATTTGCATATAAGCAAAAACACATACATGGACGCTCACTCCACGTGATTTTCACTACGGGCACGTGAAGGTTATTTTTGGTGAAAAGCGTTTTCGGGAAAGACACAAGCTAGAAGGATGAAACTTCGCAGAGATGTTCCTTGAACCAAGTCTAATCCAAAAACTTCAAATACAGCCTGTTTGAGCCTTTTGGTCTCACGTACGCGCACTCAAAGTTTAAGGTAGCATCGTGTCAGCTCTAGATTTAAGCTGACTAAGAAGCTGTAGAGAGCTGTAATCCTGCAAAGTTACTTTTCGCCCCCTGATATACCCTTATAAGTATATTGAGCTTTCCAGTCCCTCTACTTACGAAAACGTGAAATTTCCCACGAGTTCTTTTGTAACTTTAAAATTGAAGCAGCTGGAGGACTGGAAATTTCTGGACGTAACCAATGGCAGTGTTTGACAAGGTAGACTTAAAAACGACTTTCACGTCCTTTCCGTGTCTCACCTACTCTCACGTGCGCAAACGTGGAAATTAACATAACTCTGCAAACGAAGCATCTAGAGGCCGACTTTTTAAGCATGAATTGGGAGCCGCAATACCTTTAACAGCCATGGTGGCTACTTTCAATTTTCTTAACTAGAAGCATCTGCCGAGAAAAACAGTGCCATTAGAAGCAAAAACCTGCGGGGGAACTGTGCAAAAAAAGCATCTTCGCACCGGCAATCAGTGCGCTGTCAACTAAGTTACGTTTTTATATATGTAAAGCACATAAAAACCAATGTAACTTACAATATATCGTAGGTCATTGAAGAAGCCAGGAAATGAGTTTTAGTTTCATCCC